ACGGACTTGCCGCGCCAGCGCCTGCTGGTGCTGGTGAAGGACCACGGCGAGCCGGCGCTGACTGCCACGGCCACTGTGCTCATATCACTGGTGGAGAGCAGCCAAGTGCCAAAGGCCTCTTCGCGGGCGTTGGCAAGCGCTGTGGGCCCAGAGGCGGCGCTGGTGGATGTCAACGTGTACCTCATCATCGCCATCTGCGCGGTGTCCAGCCTGTTGGTGCTCACGCTGCTGCTGTACACAGCCCTGCGGTGCTCGGCGCCGCCTAGCGAAGGCGCGTGCGGGCCGGGCAAGCCCAGGCTGGTGTGCTCCAGCGCGGTGGGGAGCTGGTCATACTCCCAGCAGAGGCGGCAGAGAGTGTGCTCTGGAGAGGGTCCACCCAAGACCGACCTCATGGCCTTCAGCCCTAGTCTTCCACCAGGTCTTGATAGAGAAGACCAAGGGGAAAAGCAGGAGGCAGTATCGAATCACCCTGGACAGGTGAGTTTTATATAAATTCCACCTACTAAGGAAATCATTAATGTTTTAAAAATCCGGGTTTTTTTTTGCCACCGAAAAATTATGAATCAACACTGTGTATTTTGAACATTGTTTTAAAAAACGATGTTTGTTAGCGAAATGCCAGATGGTACACATAATCTAATCTTTTAATCATATGAACAATTAGGTTTCTTTAGCCAATAAATGTCCTCTTTCTCCTAACATTTAGTTAGAAAATGTTGAAAGAAGGGTAGGCGCGGCGGCTCATGCTTGTAATCCCTGCACTTTGGTAGGCCTAGCTTGGAGGATCGCTTGAGGACAGGCGTTTGAGACTGCAGTGAGGTATGATCTCATTACTGCACTTCAGCCTGGGCAACAGAGTGAGACCCTTTCTTTCTTTTTTTATTTTTAAAATTGAGTCTACCTTTTATTTACCCCGATGAGACTCCGTCTTTCTTAAAAAAAAATTTAAAAGATGCAAGGATGACTCTTCTTGTCATCACTTGAGTAGAAACAATAACTATTTTCACTGATCACATGCCATTTCATCCATATTTCTCAGTGATGTCCATAATCACTGTAGATTATTTAAAGTTTTTTCATCTTTGTCTTTTATCAGCATTTTGTCTTGGTATTTTCATATTATGAGATCAATTGGCTTTTCTATTAATTACTTCAGGTGTATATCAAAGCTAGACCATTCCTCATTAGGTCTGAAAGGATTTGCTTTTCCTATGGTGTTAAATATTCACTATACATTTATTATAAATTGCATAATCTTTAGTTTTTCCTTTACTCCTGTGATAATACCTTCATATTATTTGAAGACAATGTCCAGCCATGCATTCTAATGTGCTGCTGTTATTGAAATAATATAACTAAAATTCTCTCCATTCTTGATTTTCTTACATGAAATGGCAAGAAATTTATCAACTACTTCGTACTCACAGATGCATACTCAAAGAAAACTGCCCAATCTATATTTCTAATATAAATTAGGCAAATAAAATTATTCAAATTATCCAATCAAATTATGCAAACTTGCTAGCTGCATGTATATAGACCTATATTATCAGCAATATATACTAATTTGCATTCTTTCCTAAGTTTTTCAGATTCATCTAGAAAAGAAAAAGGTAACTCTTTTAAAGAGAGTGTCTATTGACAATTACCAGTTTCATTCATGTCACATTTTAACTGCTCTATCTTTAAAATGCCTTATCTCTAATGTTTGTGAAAGTTTCTTTTCATGTGGTATAATCACATCTGAATGTTCTAGCAAAGATCATTTACCTCCGGGTCATTCCTCTAATTCAGTGATTCTTAGCTACATATAGGGGGATGGAATCAAAGACCCTTTGAGAATCATAATGGTTATTTCCCCCTTAAAGTTACACACCATGCTATTTGGCACAATATTCAAGAAGTCCATGCTGAAGTCCATTCTTGTACCTCAAGTCAAGAACTTTTGTACCTTAATATTAAGTGGCTAAACTCATTCTATAAGTATTCAAAAGAAGGCAACAAGATAAAAAAACATAAAATATTTCAGACTCAAAGTGGTTAAACCATTATACAATTTATGAAACTTTGTAAATATAATAAATGTGAATATTAGATAGGGCGTATATCATTATTTATCTCTAAATTAAGTTCTTGGAATAACTGAAGGTCATTTAAATTTAATTTAAAAAGACAGTGGAGTGTTTTCAGTACAGGTTAAAAATTTGCAAATCATTACTTTTATATTATATAAATAACCAATGCACATTTTAGATAATTCCAAATTATCTGGACTGATTTCTACAAATTTAATGTCCTTTATACTAATTCCTAAGGTCAAGATTACATTCTTTGGTATAAAATTATAATTTCAATTTATCTGCTAGTTCAGCTCTTCAAGTCTTAAGCTATACTTGGATATTCCTTCCTATTTGTTTAATAATTTAATTATGTCTAACAGTGTGAGGACTACATGACACATTTTAAAATTAAAATTATGTAACAACTATGATACATTGACTGTTTTTGAAAATGAAAAATACGAGGTGAAGAAATTTGGTGGTAATATCGGACAATTTAAATAATTAGTCTCACAGCAGCAAAATTCAAATTGTTTTTGATGAATTAAGGGACAGTTTTATAGTGGATTTAAATTATCTTATACTTGTAGAGCCATTCTTGGTTATTCTTTTCTGGTTATGTAAAGGTTTCACATCTCAATTCCCCTTATTTATAACATGTATAAGGAATGACAGGCAACAAAATATTGGTTTAAAGATTTTGACTTGAGTAGTAATAAACTTATAAAATCTATATTTACTTGTTCATAAGGAGCTGTAGGAACTTATCTGTGCTTTGTTTTCCTTAAAGCTGATCTTGAATTAATGAATAAAATTATGAAAGGTCTTTTGCTTCCCCCTTGCATCATAGTCACCACTCTCATTTTCTGAAGAGAAGCATATCTTGACTAACTACTAACTGATCTGTAGGGAAAGATTTAGAGGCAAACCAAAAGGTTGATACCAAGTTCATATTCTCTTGACTTTAGTCAA